GAAAGAAGGTAGTGGTATGCAGCCAATGGAAGAAAGGAATGAAGGAAGGAAGGTCCACTCATATATATAGGGGTGGGTGACCCACCACCTCGAGTGTGCGGCCATGGGGGTGTATAGCCATACACTCCTCATAAAGGAGTGTATGGCCCGAAGCTCTACTTTACGACTTCGATAATTCATTCCTAATCTCAACCTTGGTTGTACTCAAGCTTAGAACATTTAAACGAACCCTTAAATAGTGACAAAAGTTGAAGTTAAGGGATTTGATTGTTATTACAAAATAACAATCAAGGTATGTATCCTAACCCTAATTATATGTTAATTTCGAAAATTACATGTGCCTCCTAGGGTTTTCTAATTTTTGCGTTCAGTGCTTGTATGTCTAACAGTGAAAACATAGATCCTCAAATTAGGGTTGCATGCACACATATGATTGTTTGCTATGTATAAAACCTATAAGTGGTATCAGAGCCTTAGGTTTTTGTTTTCAGTTAGATTTGATACATATGTATGAATATGACACTTAAGGTTTACGGCTAATAAACCCTGGAGGCTTGATTTTCGAAATTAGGGTTTCTAAACCCTAGATTTCGAAATTTTGGTAGGGTTTCCTAAAGCCTTTCCTTTGGCCCTAAGATTTCTATTTTAGGGTTGCCTAACTCTAAAATTTCGACATTTGCCTTGTCCCCTAGATAGGATTCCCAAACTTTAAGTATTTGCATAATGCTATATCTTGTAATTATCCTTAATTCCTTAAATAGATAATTAAAGATCTAATGAATTATCCAATTCCATAAAATTTTCAAATCTTAGGGATATGGGATTAGATTAAATTAATTGTTTGCTTTAATAGACAATCCTACAAGATTTAAAAATTTTAAATTAATTGTTTAATTTTGGATAATTGTTAAATCAATATTTTAATATTTAAGAGTTTAAAATTAAAAAGTTTTAATTTTCGAAAAAGTTAAATATGATTAAAACCCTAGTATTTTAAAAGTATAAAATACACCCTTATACTATATGTAACATTAAAAGTCTAATATTATATATATGTATGAGTAAAGAGTCAGTTTTACCATTAGTAGGCCTCATTCACGAAGCTGGTCTATAAGGGGTGTTTAAGGAAATTGCTTATAAAATGGCGATTGAATGGGTATCCACTCTTACCCACCGCACTCTTGACTGGTGGAGGGTCGTTACCGAACGGGTATGATAGGACAAAAACTTCCATTATAAGTATAATGAAAAATAAAGTAGCTAAATTTTTACAAAATTCCCAAATCTTAGTTACTTTAGGCAAAATTGAATTTGATGGAATTCCATGAATTTACACTTTGTACCCTTGCTAAGACGTTAGTGGAGCGTATGTGGTTAACCGACACACTAATTGAGTTCTAAGTAATGGTGGCAAAGGGTGGCTCGATGTTTTTCATAGTTCGATGGAGCGTGTGCGGTTAACTGGCACATCGAATAGGTGACTGTAACATTAGGGACACCAAGTATATTTGCATGGTTATTCACACCTTGTTTTGTGATCCTCGGCATCCCAGTTACAAATCGAGGGGCATATCTAGATTTAACCATGACATTGAAAAGTTCAATGAATTTGAAAAGATCTAGGAGTTTTCAATACATTTAAGATTTAAATGCCTTTTTCGTTTTTCATGGTGGAAAATTAGTGAATCGTCATTCACTTACATTGGAATATTCTACAACTAGATTACAATATCCCTCTTCTAGGTTGTAGAGTATTGTGTTGGATCCCGGCCTTAATGTTTCATTTGGGTGTTACATCAACGATTCTAATCAACTTGACTTGAATTTCTCCCATTTTTGTAGATGTCTGAATCTAACAATGGTCTTCCTGAATCCCATGGAACAAGTTTTCCAAATGGAGATGATATTCCATGATATGATCGAGGAACCAGAGATCATGCTTCACTTCCTCTACCTACTCTAATTGTTCTCCCTAACCCACAAGTTCAAAGGTTTGAAAAGTTCAAGCTCACTCAATCCCTATTGACAAGTAAGCATGAAGATGGGAAACCTGTGTGTGCACACGTCTTAGAGATGAAGTCACACATTGATAGGCTAAGGATGTTGGGTGTCGATATCTCAGAGATGTTGGTTGTTGACTGGGTTCTTCAGTCACTTCCTGATTCGTATTGTGAGTTCGTAAGAGAGTACTATACGATGGTTCACAATGTAACCCTCATTGATTTCACCTATTTGCTTATAGCTGCTGAATCAGCAATGATTTGGCGTGCTTGTCAAGCAAATTTATCTGGTGAATCAAACTCCCAAACTTCAATAGACATTGAAAACGGTGACATTGGAGATCCAGAAAAAGGTAAATTATGAGATAGTTCCTTGTGCCATTCCAAAAGAGTCAATTTGCTTTTATTTCCAAGAGAAGGGGCATTGGAGACGAAGTTGCCCTATCTACCTGAGAGATCTAAGAGATGGGAGAGTCTAGACGTATGGCTCTACTTCAGGTAAAAACCATTACCTAACTCTATAAGTTCCTATTTTTAGGTTCTTAATACATGATGTGATAAGATTACATTTTGATGTTTTGCAGGATCGAAGAAAAGAAAGGAATCTTAAGGAAGAAGCGCGCCGAATCTGATCAAGAAAAAATGGATTCCGATCGCATAGATTCAAAGATCGGATTTTTGAGCTACTACTTTAGAGTTAGGATAGATTGCTAAGAAATATGTAATATCATAGTTTTTCAGTTGAATTGCATTGAAAGGACAAGTTTTTCTGCAGTAAAATAAATTTTGAGTTTTATCTTATTTATTTATCCTTACAATGGCGTGTATGCAGAATTGATGTTTGTGTATTTCTATTATTAGCAAACTGGATTTGATTCTTAATTGGGTTATTCGTGGAAGTGTCGAGAGTTTACCAAATAGGGACAGTTTCTCATCACCCAAGTTTCAAGTGAATAGAAACTTGGAATCATGCAACGTGTATTTTATGATGAATGAAAAACTTTCACATTTGGGAAATTTAGACTAATTCTTTGACAAAGTGTCAATTGAAGGACTAGGAGATCGAGTACACTAGGTCGTACGTTGACCAAGTCTACCACAAGAGTGACAAAGATATTCGTCATGATTTACTAGAGTTTAGTAAATATGGTTATACTTATAAGATTAAGTATAATTTTGAGTTGATTGAAAGAGTTTCAATCAATTGCAGACCAAATAAGAAGAATCAAGTAGGCAGAAAGATAAAACTCTCTCTATTCTAAGAAGAAGGGAGAGTACCTTTTATTGTGTTTTATGATAAGTCTTAATGAGTAAGAACTACTTCTCAACGTCCCCTAAATGAGTCTTAGTATATATGTATGTCTAAGAAGAGGAATCGAGAATTGTAGAAATGGTTAAATCAAGAAGGCAATCATAATTCGTTCCAATATCAAGTATTAGAGTCAGGATAGTGACTTGAGTGAAAAGTCTTAAGTAGGTTTATAACATTCATCAACTCTAGAATTTGGAAAAGTTTTCTTATTCTTGCACATTTAAAATTGGTAAGTTGTGATGTCTTGGATAAGATAAAGACCAACTAGGACCAATTTCGTGAAGTGTTTTGTCTTGATAAAAGCTACACTAACTCTTGAATATTTTTTTATCAAGAAATGTTTCTGGACAAGAGAACCTTATAAGTGAAGGAGTCAATGGGAGTCTTAAATGTCTTGAAAAGTTTCAAGAAAAAATTCAAGAATAAACCTAGATAATCATCACTAGCACACGACTTGATGTTTATAACCTATCATGGTTGACATACTCTAGTTTCGATGCCATTCCATTTGTGTTAACTATGTATGTGAGTTCTATGAGTTCTCATTTGAACGCATAAAGGCAAGCACCTTGATCAATGGAAAGTACATTCATATGTAAGGGTGAGCTGCTTAACAACCTAGAAGCAATAGTGGGCACTCGTACTGCCATGAGGCAGGAAATTAAGATTGAACAAGTTTTGTCCGTATGAGATGGATTGGTTGCAAACACTGTCTTATGATTGTTTTTATGACAAATTTACATGGATAGGAATGCATACATCATAAAATCTAAGTGTCATAAGGTTTTCCTCCTTCATGAAAATGATCATGAGGAAATGCTTTCACTAAGAGAGATTTTAAGTAGAGATAACAGTTGTGTAAATTGTATTCTCAAATTCGATTATGATTACGACATCCATGTTCATAGTTCGAGTTGTGAGATTTGGCAATTAGTCTGAACATTTGGGACTTAGTAACATAAGGTCTGAATTTGTTTAGACACACATGTAAGCTTTCTAAGAAAAGGTGTATGAGTTTAAGAAGCTTAGATAAATGATTATCAAAGCATCTGGTATTAGAAATATGAACGTAAGGAATTCAATAAGCATTGTTTTCTGGAAGTTCAAATGTTTTCTGAATACATGTCAAAGCTAGTGGGACCATAAGTGTTACGCCAATAAGGAAATAATCATCATGTTAGTGGGAGCATGATTATCATGGTAAGTATTGCAAGTTAGCAATATTAATTATAGAAAGGGATAATGTCATTGTAGGACAATGAGCTTTTGTGATTTGTCCGACTTGACCAATTATGTTTTTTTCTTGCGCATTAGGTCATCTAACTTTTACTGTACATATCAATTAGGTCATTATAGTTAGTTTTTAACCATTCCTCCATTAACTAGTTTTCTAAATTACACGAATGGCCCCTGTGGTTTCAATTTCTTTCATAATTGGTCCTTATTAGCCATGTTTTAAATCACACGACTAAAACTACAACAATTCTGAAACTCTAGGGACCATATTGCAACATTGTCATCGTCTTTCCTAAATTCTTTCGCATTCCAACTTACCCGATGCTCCTTCAAAATTGATCAAATATGTTGAATCTGATAAATTCATTATTATTCATAATTTGTTGGTATTAAGTTATTTTTGATACTTGAAATCCTAATCAAATATCAGTCAATTTCCTAGAGAAATCGTGATGGTTGTTGAAACGGAAGCCAAAAAGATTACCACTGGGGCTAGCGGCGATCCGAAAACTCCGATGATTGATTCTAGATGGAATTCGAGGTTAAACCCAGAAACCACCGAGCTCCGGTCACGGAGAAGGAGAGAGAAACAGATAATCCAATCAAATCTACATTCTCCTTTACTTGAAAGAGAAAAATCACATATTAATTTCAAAATCTCCGGTTCACCACCCAAAAAAGAAATCGAGAATGAAAAGGGTCAGTTTCCAATGAATATGGTGTCACCGAAGAACAGACCTTAGGCTACAAAAACTGTGATCTTCCCGAACCCCCTTTTCCATTCAAAACTGCTTCACAAAACCAACAATTTTTACAGAACAAGGTCGTCGGTGATTACAAGAACCCGTCAGACCATCCCTCACAAGTTTCTAATCAAGACTCCACCACCTCCTGTCGCCATGGTTAAGTTTCAAGTAAATATTCGCAGCCAACGCGAAGAAGAAGACGATGTCACCGCCTAATAACATCTCCACGTCAGCAAAGCTACGGAGGTCGTTTTCACCATCGAGGTTGGAGATTAGATTGCCTTCGCCGTTGATGCTTAGGAAACCACTGATTTGCATATCTCCAACCAGATCCAGGGTGGCTACCTTGTAAAAGATTTTTGTTCGGTTTTCAAATTTTTATATTCATAAAATAACAATAATCTGCAATTTGTTCCCATAATGACAATGTTACACTTTGGACCCTAGAGTTTCGGGATTGTGGTAGTTTTAGTCGTCTGATTTAAATCATGGTTGATAACGACCAATTCCGAAAGAAATGTAAACCATAGGGGGCCATTCCTGTAATTTAGAAAACTAGTTAACGGAGGAATGGTCAAAAACAAACGATAGCGACCTAATTGACATGTACAGTAAAAGTTAGATTACCTAATGCGCAAGAAAAAAACATAATTGGTCAAGTCGGAAAAATCACAAAAGTTCATTGTGCTACAGTGACATTATCCCTTATAGAAAACAAGAGTTATACTTTGCAAAGTCGCAAGGGTTGAAAAGTTGTTTTGCTATAATTAAGGTAGAGAAAATTATGCTTCATTTCAAATCTAAAGGCTTAGATTGTGGAATTATAATAAATTTAGTCAAGGATACATAGTGCATTCTCAAAATTTGATTATGATTACAGCATCCCTCTTCATAGTTCGAATTGTGAGAACATGGCACATAAAATAAAATATTATGGCAAAATACTGATAAAGTATCATGTCTTTATGAGACACATTATGCATCATGTCCCATACGCTTCGGGTATAGGAACAATTGCATATGCTATAATATTTGACCGTTCTAAAATTTTCCAAATGCCAAGGGAATTAAGAGGGAAAAGGGACTAGAACCGGTTTAGACTAAAATAAATAAACAACTATCAAAGGACAATCCAATGTTCCCTGAGGATTGGTCGCTTATGAGTAGTTGGAAGTATAGTATTGGATGGACCATATCGACATTATCATGAATAGATAAGAATCTATTTAGAATGAGTTGTCACATGGAAAATATGGAAATGTTTCCATAATTGTTTTGTAACAATTTCTGATAGAATACTTTGTAATTTCATTGGCCAAGTCTTGGTGACTTTGTGTTGTGACATTACAAAAGGATCATTACATAAAATGTTAGAATCTAGCATATTCTAAAAGTGGAAAGAATTTTGTATTCTTACACTAATGATGAGGATCGGGGATTGTGAAATGAGTTTCATTGGAAAAGTTTTTCAATTGATTTATTTCACAAAGCATGGACCATAGGAAACCAAATTGTGCATACTTGGAGCATGGGACAATTGTGGTTATAATTCAAGTATAAAGTTGATTATCTAAAACACTAAACAATGAATAATGACTAATCAATATGATGATTAAATAAAGGTGTTTAATTTATACTCACAAGTTTGGGGTCATATAAGATTAAGTAGTATCATTGTTTTCTCTTTGCATGTTTTGACTTCCAGAATAACCGGGTTATTCGAACCTCCACAGTCGGTCATACGTTGGAAGTAGGTATGAAGGAAGACTATCATGAATATGTCTGTAGATTCTCTAAAGTGTTTAGGCATAGCGCAAGTTTGCTGCAGAGTTCATGAGTGCTTTGATAAGATTAGAGTATTGGATTAAACCCATGCTCACTTGAATCATTTCATGGACTTATCACAGGTGACTAGTGAAACGATAACATTGTATATTCTTGAAACCCAGACGTGTGAGTTTTTATTTGCTGGTTAGTTGCACATTGATAATAAGTAAATGCACTAGTAACTTGGTGTTATAAAACTTATCGTTGTGTGTGATTCGATCAGTAGGTGCAAGCGAGCATTTGAGTCGAAGTTTATCCATTCCTTTTACCCAAAGTGGGATAAATGCAATATTTGTGGGCCCCTCGATGATTTAGTGATGACACCCTAAGCGCTTGGCCAAGCCGGGACTAAGTTGATGTGTTCAATTATAGTTTGTTGTCAATCGTCGTAACTCAGATGTTAGGAAACAATACATAGACAGAGAAATGGTTTAAATCCATGTGTTGTGTGTATACGATATCTTTAGAATGGAGGAATATATGATTCGTTATCTAAAGGACACATCACTGATAAGATCAGAGTTTGACAGTGGCTTTTGGTAGCTAAAATTTGCTAGTCAGTTTTTGAAGTTATACTTGAAACTATATTTATTAGAATTATCCAAGTGGGAGACTGTTGGATTAGGTGTCTTACCATAACAATAATTGGTATGTACTTGAATTGATAGTAGCAATGTCCTGTTGGGTTGCTTTCAAACCTGGAAATGGAATAGGATAATTGTTGGAGAGAGAAGAATGATTTATTAATTTATTACTTGGTTAATAAATTTATTTGAAATCAAGATAAATGATTTATTAATGTATTATGGATAAAATATATTGATTAGAAATGATATTATTTAATTAATATTTAATCAGAAATTAATTTGGAATTAATTTTAGGAATAAATGAATTAATTGAAACTGCAGCAATCAAAGGTGACAATGTTCAAAAGTTGAGCATTGAAGCCTTCTAGAACCTCCCTTAGAGGTGGGGAACGAAATATAGAGTGTCCTAGGGTTTCCTTAGGCTCTAAGGGTGCCTTGGAAGCCTTAGGGAGGAAGTTATGGGATTAGGGTTATCTAAGATACACCTGCCTTATCCTAAACCTTCCTTATCACCTATATAAACCCCTACAGGGTTGGATTTCGTCTAAGGCACTCCAAGAGAGGCTTATAGCCGAATTTTCTACTTCCCTTCTCTCTCCATAGTAATCCTTCTTTGGTAGGTTTGTTTGTGAGCCATCAGAGGTGCGACACTTGTGGCTCTTGCTACCAAAGTTCAAGATCTTCATGGATTTGATTATTATTACAATATAACAATCAAGGTATGTATCCTAACCCTAATTATATGTTAATTCCAAAAATTAGATGTACCTCCTAGGGTTTTCTAGTTTTTGTGTTCAATGCTTGTATGTCTAATAGTGAAAAACATAGATCCTCCAATTAGGGTTGCATGCACACATAGGATTGTTAGCTATGTATAAAATTTATCAGTTTCAACTCGTCTTATGCTTCAAGGTTACAGAGAGAAAAATAGACAACATTGATTCCAAAGTTCTTATCTAACTCTAAGTATCTCCCCTAGTTATAGGAGAACATTAAAGCATACAAAAAATTACAAAGGACTAGACATTAAGTTTCGACATATAATGCCTTTGTAAAATAACATTACAATTTCGACATCTTACAACCTAATTTTGACCATAACAGTCCACAAACATTTTCATTTTTTGCAAGTGGCTACTGACGGGTTCACTATCCTTCATTCTAGTTGTTATCATTGAAGAGACGATTTCATACCTCTCTTGATGAGCACTCTAATAGTATATTTCCATCAAATCTCGGTGCATCTTCAAAAGGTAAAAGTCCTCATATGACTTTTGGAGTTCAGCCGACCTAGTGGAAACCATGATACAAGCTACCTTGGTGGCATCCTTCTCATGTACCCTAAACTCAGCAATCTCCTCAGGAGTAGCAGAAGACTCATCGATTTCCTTAAGCTCTTTGTCTAGGACATATTCCTTATCCTCATAGCGAGTGACCATCCTGATGTTCGTAATCTAATCATTGAAGTTGGAACCATCAAAGATGACTCTCCCACAGAGGTTCATGAGAGAGAAGGAGCTAGTAGGGTTTGAGCTAGAAGCAGTGTTGGAAGACATCTAAAAAGAATGACAAAGTTTAGATTAGACAAAGAGTCCTCAATATAACACCAAATATGAAATATTAAGACTAGGACCCAACACAATATTTTACAAATTGGAAGAGGGATTATGTAATCCAACTTGCAAAATATTTGAAGGTAGGTCAATAACGATTTACCAATTTCCACCATGAAAAACGAAATAGTTATTAAGTTTTAATTGGATTGAAGCTCCAAGATCCTTTGAATTTCATTGAACTATTCAGTGGCATGTTTAAATATCAATTATTCCCTTCATGTTTGTGACTAGGATGCCGAGGATCACAAACAATGTGTGAATAACCATGTGACTTAACTTGGTACTCTTAACTTTAGCACCTAATCAATCTGCTGGTTAACCACACACGCTCTACCGATCTGTGATAAATATCAAGCTATCTTTGCCACCCTTACTAGTCCATGTTAGCATATCATTTAACCACATATGTTCCACTAACGACTTGGCAAGGTGTATAGTGAAATTTCATGGATTAGCATCAATTTCACATTTACCTAAAGTAACTAAGATTGAGAATTTATAAAAGGTTTGGTTAACTTATAATTACTATTATACTTAATAAGAATTATAGTCCTATCCTACCCGTTCAGCTAACGACCCTCCACCAGTGAAGGAAGTAGTGGGTGAGAGTAGACACCTATTAAATTCTCATTTTATAGGCAGTAACCTTATAAACCCCCCCCCCCCCCCTCTGATACACCAACTTCGTGAATGAGGCCTACTAACGGTAAGACTAGCTTGATATATATATATATATATATATATATATATATATATATATATATATATATATATATATATATATATATGTATATATATATATATATATATTAAACTTATAATACTATAAAGTAAAATGGTTGAATTTTAAACTATTAAAATTCAAGGGTTCTAAATTAAAGTATTCTAAAGTGACTTTACAAATTCCAAAACTTGAGGGCAAGTTTTTAAACTATAAAAACTTTAATTTCTGTAACTTGAGAGTTTTAATGACTTTTAAGGAAAAGACTTTTGGAATTCTATAACTTGAAGACAAGTTATGGAGTCCATCAAAAGACATTTAGATCAGCAATTAAACTAACATTAAGTGTCAAATAATATCTATGATCTACCAAAACTCGTAAGAAAGATAATTGACATCAATAATTTTCAAGAAATCATATAAACTAATATAAAACTTGAAACATTGACAATTTTCTTCTAATTGGACAAGCATGATCATTAACATATCAAAAACACAGGTTTCATAGTTCCAAAAACAATTTAGGGTAATGATCCAAATCTAAATGCTAGCTAAAACCCGAAATTCTTCTCACAGATGCATCACCACGTCGTAGTGGGC